AATGACAACTCATCAATAGATTGGGAGTGAAATATGTTTCCCCCTACACACATTTTCTTAACATCTACGAGAACGCTTTTGTAATCCAAACCATTATTTTTTGTTTTAACTTGTTTATTTTCATTTTCATTTTACATTTTTTTTTTTTTTGGTTCTTCCTTTTAACAATTTCGTTTCATCAAATAGACTCGAGGTGAAATATCTTGCCTCCTGCATACCTTGTCTTAACATCTGTGAAAGAGTTTCTTTATTTGGAAATACGATTTAGTGGTGTGGGTAACATAGTGGTTAGGCTATTCATTCAACCTGTAATCGTGAGATTCGGGTTTGGGAGTTCGAGCCTCATTTTGGTCCGGAGTTGTGTCCTTGAGAAAGGCACTTTACACGAATTTACCGTTTGGATTGGTCCTTTCGGAAATAGACGTTGATCTCGGGGGTCCTGCCTCTTAAGTAACCTAATAGCCAAACAATTTTTTTGGAAATACGATTTGAAATAGATATTCGCTAAATCAAGAGACTAAATTATCACTCAGCAAACTCACCGACATAGGATGGAATCACTAGCCCAGTTGATAGAACAAAAAACCCAAGCTGTTACTAAACTGAAAAACAGCAGCAGTCTTCCGATCAATGCAAGCTTTTTTTTTTATAGGAGACAGCGTTGTGTAGTGCAACAATAAGTAAATAAAAGTAAACTTGGCTTTACATTTCGTCCTGTTAGTTCTATATACCCCAGCAGATTGTTGATTTGTATCATAACCATTCGTTTCTGTTTAAACATTTGGGTTTATTTTCGTGCTTTAAAAAAATTAACAGTTTCGCTTGACGTGATTTCTTCCTTGTGGCACCACACGGCTTTCATCTACCTTTTTCCCGGCCAAAAAACCCAAACCCTTTGACTTCTTTCCTTGATACAGTTCTTATACTTTTAGCCTCTTGTTTCTCCATTTCAAGCATATTTACATTTGAACTTGCTATGTGTTACATTTGAATTTGCTATGTGTTACATTTGGGATTTCTATTTTTACATTTGAATTTGCTATGTGTTACATTTGAGATTTCTATTTTTACATTTGAACTTGCTATTGTTGTAATAAGACTTTTTATGACGTCATTTGTATATTTGGATTTGTTAGGTGCAATTTGGTCTTTCTATGCGACATTTCAATTTGATATGTGTATAATATTTGAACTGAAAAAACTATAATAATAATGTTAGTAACAATAATAATAATAATAATAAAATAATAATAATAATAATAATAATAATAATAAAAATAATAATAATACTTATTATTTTTATTATTATTATTATTATCATTATAATAATAATAATAATAATAATAATAATAATAATAATAATAATAATAATAATAATAATATAGTAATAGTTCGTCTGTCAATGTGTAACGATGACCAGTGCATTGTACAGTATAGAGAGATTACATTGTAAGTGTTTATCGTCGCTTTCAACACGGTAAGGATATTGCGTTTTACTAGCTTTTTATGCAGAAAGAGTCATCAGCTTAGACGAGGTACAAGGGGGTGGGGGGCGGGGAGGACAGACGACAGAATATGGTTAGAGAGCAGAAAAAGAGGTGAAAGGAGAACATTTTAGAGAAAAAATGTTTTCCATCGCTGTCAGGTTTCGAACCCGGGACCTATTGTATGAGAGGCGAACACCTCAACCTCTAGACCACTAGAGCTCCCTTGATATATGTTTGATACGCAAGAAGGGACAATCCACATCAGAGCACCTGCCAACCACCCATTACTTCATTTGTGAGCAAACGAGATATGACCTGCTCTTTCAATGTAATCAAAATGTTAATTCTGAGATAGACAGAAGTGGTTTATTTTTAACTGTTTCTTTTCAGAGATGGAGAAGTGGTGTTTGTATTACATGTGTGGCCTCCTTGTGTTGGTGCAATGTTTTCTGACCGGTAGGTGTTAAGTCGCTCTGTTGTTCATGTGTGTATGTGTGTGTGTATGTGTGTGTGTGTGTGTATGTGTGTGTATGTGTGTGTGTCTGTCTGTGTGTGTGTGTGTGTGTGTGTGTGTGTGTGTGTGTGGCCTCCTTGTGTTAGTGCAGTGTTTACTGACCGGTAGGTGTTAAGTCGCTCTGTTGTTCGTGAGTGTGTGTAATTGTGTGTATGTGTGTTTGTGTGTGTATGTGTGTTTGTGTGTGTGTGTGTGTGTGTGTGTGTGTGAGTGAGTAAGTGTTTGTGTGTCTATGTGTGTGTGTGTGCGTGTGTGTTTGAGAAAGAGAGAGAGAGAGAGAG